TTAAAGAATATTTTTCAAGGCCTAGAATAGGCGTGGATTTTTTAAAGAATATTTTTCAAGGCCTAGAATAGGCGTGGATTTTTTAAAGAATATTTTTCAAGGCCTAGAATAGGCGTGGATTTTTTAAAGAATATTTTTCAAGGCCTAGAATAGGCGTGGATTTTTTAAAGAATATTTTTCAAGGCCTAGAATAGGGCCTAGAATAGGCGTGGATTTTTTAAGAATAGGGCCTAGAATAGGCGTGGATTTTTTAAGAATAGGGCCTAGAATAGGCGTGGATTTTTTAAGAATATTTTAGGCGTGGATTTATTAAAGAATATTTTTCAAGGCCTAGAATAGGCGTGGATTTTTTAAAGAATATTTTTCAAGGCCTAGAATAGGCGTGGATTTTTTAAAGAATATTTTTCAAGGCCTAGAATAGGCGAAAATTGGCAATACAAAGGGACCTACTTAGGTATATCGACATAGTCCCGTTATATTGGTCCTATTTTCACAATGAGTCACAGTCACAATCTAGCTCTTAGATTTCTCAATATACATACCTAAATATTGACGTAGAACTCCAATTAGTGTCCCAAATGATTTCAGGAGTTTTTCACGGTTTTTATTCCATCAAAAAATCTCCCACTGTGTCACATCTCAAGGATTCACAAAATTGCACATCTTCAAAGAGAGTCCTTTCATTCGCCAGTCTATTTATATTGCGGAAAATGGCAAGAGTAACGTTTTTATTTTCTTGCTAAAAAGATGTTGAGTAAACATTAATTTACATAACGTTCAACCTTCTTCTTCCGACCAGCCAGCCAGCCAACCATCCATCCAACCGCCCCATTACACATTATAAAACCTCCGCCCACTGAAAACTAGGACGATTTTAGGTTGGGACCCCATTCTTTCTTACTATTTGAAACAGTTCATGCTGACGACATTGCATGTAGTGTGGAAAACTGAAAAACTGTTATTAAAAAAATGTTCGTACCATGTTTTGTGGGGGGTTTTTAAGAGGGTCGGACATTACATGTTTCTTTTGTTTTAAAATATAAAAAAAGCGTTGGTTGGTTGTTTATATTGCTTGGATGCTGTCAACATATTTGCTCGGAACACGGGTGTGTCATTTTTATAGCACAAGTATCTGTTTTCTATGTTCTAAGATGACTTGAGAGGTAAGTTTTTGGGGATGTTAGTACTAGTTAAGGGTAATATTTTGTAAATGTTAAGAAATAAAATTTGGAAAGGGCCATATATTTTCAATATAATTGCTGGGAAGATTGTGGGTCCGATGTAACATTTTTGGTCTCAATTTTGACAACAATGCCGCCTTGAGATCCACAAATTTTCTTTATAATATATTAACAAATATATAAAAAAACGCAATAGTTACTACTACTACATGTTTGCATTCATACCACATTTTTTTAATATTTTCTTCTTTGCGAATATGCATATCCCAGTCCTTGCAAATACATCAAACTGCCTATGTTTGTATTACCCTCGATTTGCAAACTCTAAACTCATAGATAAACAAAAAAACCCCGCTATACCCCACCTTTGCAATATTGCAATCCAAGTCTTTTTCATATCCACCAGATTAAAGGCCCGTTAAGGATAATATACCCTTGTGTGTGTGCACATTTATTTTCTTTTCTTGGCATTTAAACTGTATCGGTTGGCAAATTCATGACATCCCCTGCGAATATTCAGTTTTTTTTTTAACTTCGTTTGCCTTGAGACAAATAATGTGTATATTTTATAGTGAATTATCCTTATGAATTCAATTTCATTTTTTTTAGTTTAGTTTATTGGTGTTATTGTTTTTGTTGTTGCTTTTTTTCTTCACACTCGCACATTATTATCATCATCTTCTTTGTGGTCTAATCTTCTTTTGTAAATGTTAACGCCTTTGGAGAAATGTTGTCTTAATATTTGTTGAGGTGGTATGGCGGGGGATAACCATAATAACGATGACATTACCAGCATATTGCATAAATTTATGTTGTATACAGACATAGTGTTGCTATTCGTTGTTTTTTATTTGGTCGAAGGACACATTGAACGAAGGAAATTGTATTACTAAGTACGAGGGTAGTTCAAAGTTGTGGTCATTGTAAATATTTACAGAAGCTATTTCTATATTATCATATTAGTATTTAAAATATACCATTGCAGATAATGAGGTTTGACCGAAGAAGGTCGGGTTATTTAAACGGGAGTCTATGTCCAATATTAAAAGTGTTCTGGCAAGTGGTATTTTATACTAAGAAAACCCAAATTACCTCTTTAAAGTCACAGTGCTTGAAAATAAAGCCATTATATGACTGCTTTGTTAAAACCTGGACCTATGCTTACATATATTGTCCAAAAAAGTTGTGTAATCTCAAACAACCAGACCAGAACTTTTCATACCATCAGCCCGAACTGATATAAATAGTCTGCTAGGATGTGTTTTATCCTCTGAGAAAAGGAAATACAAAATTACAGAAAATTATAGTTACGGAAATTCTGTATTTCCTTGAAGACCATCAGCATACAGGTCGTGTGGCGGGACCTTTAAATTTCAAAATGTTTTGGCAAATGTCATTTTATCCTCAAAAATCCAAAATTGCCTTTTTATAGTCACAGTGTTCACACACGAAACTGAAGCCACCAAAATATTGAAAATAGGACATGGCTATTTTAGGAATGATACGTTGAAACATGGACCTCTAAACCCCAGACCCAATTTGAAAAAATCGTGTAGGATCATGCAAGTACCTAAAATCTGACGGGACATATTTATGGGCCCTATGTCAAAACATGAATTTCCCACCAAGAGTCCGGAATGCAAAATTACAGCCACTGCGGTACTTACAACCAGGCTCTAGCATAGATGCAGTGCATCTTCACAAATTGAATAGCCTTCAAATGTTCACGGTTATAAAGTCATTTCCATATCTACCCAAAGAGCACTCAGAAATCAAAATATTTTCGAATCCGCTAGAGTTCGTATACAAAGTTTTCATAATCCATCCCATGAAACTCCCGCTGAACATAATGTCCATGGAGAACTGATTTCAACCAAAAACGTCCCCAAGATACTGGGTGTAACGTTCGATAGATATTTCAAGTCTTCTGCGCATGCCACTGCTTTATGCGATAAGCTGAGAAGTCGCTAGCCGGCGGCCGTTGACGCGCTGACAAAGAAACCTTGGTTTCTGCATATAAAGCAGTAGGTCGGTCAGTGGTAAGTTATGCGGCACCAGTGTGGGCTGCGAATGTAAGTGATACACAGCGGAATGTAAGTGATACACAGACCTGTAAGAATGGTGGCCTCTGAACTTACCATGACTCCAGTGAACCATTTTCATGCGGAGACGATGATCTTACTTGTTCATTCAGTCGCTCAGGAAGTAGAGCAATATCATGTGAATACCATAATCGAAGACCCCGCCCATCTATCACAGTAGAGGAGAAGGAGCTGTCCCGAGTAGTCTTAGCAGATGGTGCAGACGCCTCAATTCCTATTAAGCAAGAATTGGCGGCTCTATTAATAATACATGTCCTAAATGTGGACTAGAACCACACGACACGTTGCATCTCTTCAACTGCCTAACCTCTTCAACTCTTCAACCTCTCAACCTCTTCAACTCCACATCCTATTCAAGTTGCAAAATTGTCAAAATTCTTATTTTGTTGCTACAACAACAATACTTCCAGGGTAATCAGAATCTCGTGCGAGGTCTTATGGGATTTATTCCGACGTCTGCATAGCGTCAGAATTAAAAAAGTCCATGACTTTATATTACGTTAAATTGAGACCACGATGAAGTAGGAATAAAAAAAAATCCATTCCTTGTTGGTAAGAAATTGATCCATAACAAATGCATTCCGCAGTGACAACAGGTGATATTTTATAATGGAAAGAATTGCCCCCGAGTGCGGACTTCGGTTTTATTGCGGTAAAAAATAAGCGGACGAAATAAAATAACGAACTTTCACGGATGTGTTGTAAGATATGAAAGTCTTCTTCGATAATGGGGCAGTACACTATATGGGGGTAATGTCCACCCATGAACAATTTCTAAGAAAATGGTAATTACTCTCAAAAAATTACTAACCAATTACAGCCCCTTCAAAATACTGACAACCGGTCGCTATTTTTATGTCCACCGGATTTCTTTACGGAGAACTCCATAGCAGAAGGTTCGTATGTTCCATCATTATATTTGCCATTTGACTTTCCGTACATTTACAATCCTCCCTCTTTGCAACGCAAACTTTCACGCATACAGAGACTCTCTTCCATTGGTTACATTCGTAATCATAAAATTATAATCATGTGACAGGATAATTATATCGCATGACGACTTTGCCAGCAAAAAAAACGGAAATTTGCATTTAAAGTGACATAAAAACGAAGTGAAAGATGTCAAAAAGAAAAAAATATAAACCCACAACACATTGCTATCTGACTGACTGGCTGCTGATGACATTTGGGTGTTGAAGAAACACAAGAAGAAAACAAAACAGTAGTGGTAGTAGCCCAAGTAAATATTCCACATCTAGCCACCTCATCAGCCAAGTCAATGAAAGAAAAGCAAACAGCTCTGGCGTAGATGTTGGGCAAATTAGGCTTAATAGCCTCCTTGTAACTTATGTAAACATTTCATTATTTTTATGTTTAAAAAAGATTAAAATTTTATTATTTTATGCATAATAAGTATGTGTGGTTGTGTTTTTTGTTCTTGCAGATATGCTAAGAATATTACTATAACTAAGGGTGTGTGAGAGTGAATGGTCTGGTCGTTATGGGTGCGAATAATAAGTAAAATTGGTGGTTAGTGCAAGAAATATTTCACATATGCGTATGTATGTGTGTGCGCTCAAGAGATATGAAGGATATGGGAAAACAGGAAGGGGAAAAATAGCAAGGACACAAAATTATCTTTGGCAAATTAAATAAAGAATATGACTTAATGATAAGTAAAACGAACTTAATCTACACGGGAACACCATGTTCTTGGGCGGTACAGCAGCTACCAGCTAAGTTCTTCGGGCAGGCCACCTGGATATTCGCCAGTCAAGCAGGCTGTGCAATAACCAGTTTTGGTGGGATTTGAACTGGTTTTGTTGTATTCAACGGCTTTGACTAAACCCTCTACACTCAAATAAGCCAAACTGTCGGCACCTGGAAAAAGGTTACACAAAAATAAGTTTTGGAAATGTAATAAAGTTTTAGAATTTTCTTTTACTTACCCACATAGGAAGCCAATTGCTTGGCATTTAATTTATTTGCAATCAATTCCTCTCTGGTGGGTATATTAATACCCATATAACATGGATATTGCAATGGAGGACTGGCAATACGTATATGTACCTCTATGGCTCCGGCATCTTTTAGCAATTTAATAATGGGTCCGATGGTATTACCTCGCACAATAGAGTCATCAATTAAAACCACACGTTTGCCTTCGACGTTTTCGGAAAGGGCGCCAAATTTCTTGGCAACACCCAATTTACGTAAACGTGTAGAGGGCTGAATAAAGGTACGTCCTACGTAACGATTTTTACACAGTACCTCGGCAAATGGTAGATTAGACTGGAAATTAAAAAGAGAGAAAAAAGTTAATATTCAATTTTTAAAACGAAAACATAAATTAAAAGATAAACGATCTCAGAGCTAAAGTTCTGGGTTTTTAAAATATTATTGGTTCACCACCGGTGGATTTTTCAAAAAATATATTTTCAGAACCTATAAGTTCTCTAAGCGTGGATTTTTTAAATATTTTTCAAAGAAAAATTGTTCATCCTCTATCAGTTCTCTAGGCTTGGATTTTTAAAATATATATTTTCAGCCCCCATAAGTTCTCTAGACGTGGATTTTTAAAATAAATATATTTTGGGCCTCAAATTATATGTTTTCACTCTCAATAGGCGTGGATTTTTTAAAATTATATGTTTTCAGCCTCCATAAGTTCTCTAGGCGTGGATTTTTAAAAAATATGTTTTCAGCCTCAATAAGTTCTCTAGGCGTGGATTTTTTTTAAATATATATTTTCAGCCTCCATAAGTTCTCTAGGCGTGGATTTTTTAAGATATATGTTTTCAGCCTCAATAAGATCTCTAGGCTTGGATTTTTGAAAATATATTTTTTAGTCCTCAAAAGTTTTCTAGGAGTGGATTTCTTATTTTTCAGGCCCTATCAAGTCTATAGACCTTGATTATTTTATGAATATTTTTCATCCACTATCGGATCTTTAGGCGTTTATTTTTTAAGCAAATCTCAGTCCTCTGACTTGGATTTTTTAAGAATTTGTTTTCACCGACTATCGGAATATGGCCTGCATTTCTGCAGAAGTGCAGATACTTTAATAATATTTTTTTACAGACTATCCGATCTATAATATTTTTTACCCACTTCCAGCCCTGTAATCGCGATTTTTTAAGAATATTTTTACCCTCTACCAACGCATTAAGACAGGATTTTTTAGGAAAAAATTTTTGGTGTTTTGGGCCTGTAATCGCGATTTTTGAAGAATATTTTTACCCACTACCAAACCATTAAGACAGGATTTTTTATGAAAATATTTGTTTCTATTGATACCCACTTACCTCTCTGGCATAACCATGAGCCGCCGCTGTGCCCGACTCCGGCACTGAACTCACAATATCCGCATCAACCGGTGACTCTCGGGCCAATTGCCGGCCACACTGCAGACGCACTGAATAAACCATTTGACCTTCAAATATCGAATCACTGCGTGCAAAATAAACATATTCAAATATACAGAAGGCCATGCGTTTGTAATCGGGACGTTCAACAATGTCGACAGTACGGAAACCGTTGCGTGTCAACTCTACAATTTCACCCGGCTCCACTTCACGCACATAGCGGGCACCAATCGATAGGAAACCACAACTTTCACTGGACACCACCCAACCTTCGGCTTGGGCATCTTCTGGTTTGCCAGCACCCAAGGTAATGGGAACAATTTTACCGATGCACAAAGGACGATTACCATATGAATCACGAACGGCATAAATTTTATCCTTGTGCATGACAACAAGGGAATAGGAGAGGGGTGCTAAAGTCATGAAATGGCGTATACGGGCTGGCCAATTGGGGCCATCATGTTCGGAGGCATCCTCGGGGGCACAACACAGCGACTGGGCAATCAATTCACTGTCACTGTGAGTGGATAAACCAACACCACGATCAAGGACCTGTAGAAAAGAAATTAAAATTTAAAATGTTGAATACTTTCATAGGCTAAACCTCCCCACTCACCTCTCTTCTCAGCTGTTCACAATTAACCAATTCACCATTATGGGCAATGGCCAGAGCTCCATGGGAGGTGTGCACCACAAATGGCTGGCAATTCACCATTTCCGAAGCGGCAGCTGTGGAATAGCGTGTATGACCAATACCCAAATTGCCACGCAGCCGATTAATCGCCTCATCATTAAACAGATTATTAATCATGCCCATGCCCTTGTGTACGTTGAATTTTTTCGATGATGCGCCATCACTTGTCACTATGCCGGCTGATTCTTGACCACGATGCTGCAATGCCACCAAACCTAAACAAATCACTTGGGCGATATCAATCTATGAATGAAATGAAACGAAAAACCAACAACAACATTATTGAATGGCATTAGAAATGACATACGAGAGTAACTGATTAGTCGCCGTCTTATCTCCTTCAAATAAATGTTTGCATGCTAATCGGTAAAAAAAACGTTTTCCCTTTTTTTAAATAAATGAGTTGTAGATGTTCGTTTTTATTTTTATTATTTTTGTTTATTAAATAATTTATTAAATTGTAATGCAATAAACAACAACACGGGCAATTATTATCATCCCGCCGCCTTTAAAGGCATTGACAACAAATTGAAATTTTTCCAATGCGATAAGAATTGTCCGCTAAAAAACGTGATCTGAGCGAAACATCTTCTTGAACGGTTGCAGTGTGACGTACTTTTCCGAACATAATTATTATTATCATATGGATTGTTGTTGTTATTGTAAATTATTTATTGTTGTTTATGTAAAATTGCCAATAAAATAATTAAAATATTGTTTTACACATATTTGCGAGGTTATTAACTGCACAAGGAGTCTTAAATGAATGCATTTTTTTTTTTTTTTTTTTTGAAGTTTATATTAAGATTTTCCTATTTTTTTTAGTGAATTTAAGATGTAAGCGACATTTTAGATTTCTTTTTTACTGTATTTTTAACGACTATAAAACCTATTAAGGGGGTGTAATATTTGGTTCACCCTATATCAGACCTATAAATTTTGATTTTATAAAAATAGGTTTCAACGACTATTATACCAATAAGTGTGGATTCCAAAATATTTCTATACCCCCTATCAGATCAAAAAGCGTAGTTATTTTAAACATATTTGTTCAGACTATAATGAATAAACGGGTTTCAGCCGATGACAGACGAATATGGGTGGATTTTATAGAATATTTTTTGCCAATATCTATATATTATTCTTTAATATTCTGAAAGTGTCTCCAGACCTATAAGAATAGATTTCTTAAAATATTTTTGGATGCTCTTTCAGACCTAAAAGCACGGCTTTTTTAATATTTTTGGAGGCACTTTCAGGCCTATAAGATTGTTTTTTTTTTTAAATATTTCTGGAGGCACTTTCAGACCTAAAAGCGCGGCTTTTTTAATATTTTTGGAGGCACTTTCAGACCTATAAGAGTTGATTTTTTTAAATATTTTTGAAGGCACTTTCAGACGGAAAATTGTGTGCATTTTAATATTTTTGGAGGCACTTTCAAGCACTTTCACACCTAAAAGGGCGAATTTTTGTCAATATTCTAGGAGGGACTTTCAGACCTATAAGAGTGGATTTTTTTAAACTATTTTTGGAGGTCCTTTCAGAGTTGATTTTTTTTAAATATTTTTGAAGGCACTTTCAGACCTAATAGGACGGCTTTTTTAATATTTTTGGAAGCACTTTCAGACCTATAAGAGTGGATTTTTTAAAATATTTTTGGAGGTACTTTTAGACCTAAAAGGGCGAATTTTTTTTAAATATTTTTGGAGGCACTTTCAGACCTAAATGGGCGAATTTTTTCAATATTCTTGGAGGCACTTCAGACCTAAAAGGGCGGATTTTTAAATATTTTTAGAGGCACTTTCAGACCTATAAGAGTGGATTTTTTTTAAATATTTTTGGATGCACTTACAGACCTATAAGAGTGGATTTTTTTAAATATTTTTGGAGGCTCTTTCAGACCTATAAGAGTTGATTTTTTTTTAATATTTTTGAAGGCACTTTCAGATTTAAAAGGAGTCAATATCGATTTTTTTTAATATTTTTGGAGTCACTTTCAGACCTATAAGAGTGGATTTTTTAAAAATATTTTTGAGTCAATATCAATAGGTGTGTATTCATTTATTACATTTTTTTAACGACCTTAGGACCCTGTATTTAAAAAAATGACAAAAGCTATCGGGTCCTTGATGTTTTTAAATAATTTTTTAACAAAGTGATTTTTTTAAATACTTGTCTAAAAGCGTGGTATTTTTTACGATTATCAGACTGTGGATATTTTGGAAATATTTTTCTGACCATTATTATAATTTGCATTGACTACCTTTTGAAAAATATTATACATAAAATATCAAGAGCTGCTTTTACATTGCGTTATTGGACCTTCGAATATATGCCACATCTTCTGTATTTTTCAGATCTGTCCTCTAGCTACTGATTTCCATTTATGAAAAAATCTAGTCATATTTTTTAACTAGCATGCTATAAATTTGCATTTTTTGGTTTTCAAGCCGGCAGAAGTCGAACTGTCAAAACATTTTCAATATATGGGACCATGTCTTCTTATTTTGAATACCCATTCTTGTAAAGATATTGTTGGGTTTTCGAAGTATAAAAATTCCTCTTAAAAACAATCTATATAGGTTAATATTTGATATTGCTTTATTCTCAGATTTTATAACCATTCCTATAAAAGTTTGATTTCATTTTAGGCATATTGAAGTTCCTAGCATCGCTTTCCAAACTGACTGTAATTTTGCATATTTGATTATCGAAGGAAAAATTTCTTAATATATTATAAAAACATTGGTCAGATAATCGGAGGAAAAAATTCTAAATATGTTATAAAATCTCAATTAGATAATGTTTTATTTTTGGCAATTTATCATAATACCATCGATTTTTTGTAGTTTTTAATTAACACAAAGCATTAACATTTATTAATTAAACTATGGAAAAAATATTCGATATGGAGCAAAATTACTATTAATTCTAATGTTCACACAAATTTCCATTAAAGATTTTCTTTTACATAATTTACACATTTAGTCACCCGTTTCCAATAAATTTTAAAAATTCCCAAACAAGACATTTTTTCATATCCTCACCTGTGTTGGCCAATCTCCACATGCAATAGCACCAAATACACCACATTCACATGTCATTCCTGTAACTTCATTTCCTTTGGGCTGGGGTTCTTTGTATTTTTTGTCTGGGAACATTTTGGGATTTTTGTTGCAACAGCCACTTGACGAGGATTCGCAGCATTCGACTAATATAATGATATTCCAATGTAAGATTTATTCCATTAAATTACAACCATTTTTCATCTTACCATTCGATTTTGTTGAGTTATCCATATTTATATAATTTGTACTGATTTAACACAAATTGATTTGAAATCCTTGTTTGTTTTTAAAATAAATGTCCTTTTTGTAATAGTTTTTTTCAGTTTTCACTTGATTTTCACACGAATTATGCCCTCCAGGCTATCGATGTCCGTTATGTAGGAAATCTCGATGAAAACTGTCTCACTGCACCGACAGATAATGCATTATATTTGAGAAATCAATATTTATTTGTTTATTGTTCGATCACATGTGCAAATTATTGGTTAGTTTTTCTTCACAACAAAAACATAATAAAGAACAACAACAATATAAAGAAAATGTTACAACAAAACAAACTAAAAACTGATAAGGAATAAAACTTTAGTCAAGGCTTGCACGAGTTCTATAGTTGAGATGTTTTTTGATTCTATATAATTTTGTTATTTTTAGTTCAAATCAGAGATTTGAAATTGAATCAATTTGTATACTGTCGTCTTATTTCTTGTCTGAATTTGAATTTCTTGACGGGATTAATCACCCACTTGCTTAGCCTTTACAAGTCAAACTGTTGCAAAAATATTCAACGAAATTCTTTTAACCGACCTTTTTTGTTGAATTCAGTATTTTTTCGGAAGAATTGAAATTCATATTTTCGTTGGTGATAAGAGGCCGTTTAATATTTCACACATGAGATTGTCTCCGAGACAATTGCCACTGGCAAAAGATGCTATCACTAATTGCGACTCACATCACATTTGGGAAGGTCCCTCACATTTGTGTAAACGCCAAAGTGTTGTTTAATCTAATTAGAGTTTATTATTAAATAACAAAAACAACAACTATTTCAAATATATTTATAAAAAAAGTAATAAAAATAAAAAAAATAAATCAATGTTCGTTGGTGCGTAAACATCAATGATGAAAAAACAACAACTTTGCTGACGTCGTTGTTGCAGTGATCAGTGGCCCAATGTTTACTCTCGGACAGGCCCCTTCTTCTACATCATGTTGTATATCAACATGGTGATGTTCTTCATGACACAGTGTTTGGAGTACTTAACTTCATATAAATATATTTATTTTGTAAAACAAAAAAAAAAAAATACTGAAACTAATAGTCTGCGGAATACAGTGCTTCGAAATTTATTTATAATTTTTTGTGGATTTCTTAGATATATGTTTTTCAAAGGTAATATTAAGAGTTTGTTTTTGAAAAATAGTTTTTCAAAACAAATTTTAGACGTGTGTTTTGAAATATTTTTAATTTTAGGCATGTTTTGATTTTTAATTTATATTTTTATACCCTACACAACTATGTTGTCAGGGTATTATAGCTTTGTGCAGCTCCAAAAGTTTGTAACGCCGCTAAATATTGGTCCTAGGCCCACCTTTAAGTATATCGATCGTCATATCTCGACTAGCTGAGTCGATCTAGACATGTGTGTCCGTCCATCCGTTCGTCTGTCCATAATAATTTGTAAACACGATACAGGCCACAGTTATGGACCAATCTTCACGAAATTTTGCATGTAGAATGCATGTATTGTTTTTGGAAAAGATCGGTTAATATTTAGCGAATGAAATGGACCAAAAACTTTATTTTTGTCGGTTTTTCTGGTCGCGCCTGAGGCCGCAATTATGGCCCAAACACCGCGAATTTTTGCATAGAGAAGGGGCCAAAGAATAAGCATGCCTGTTTTGATAAAGATCGGTCAATATTTAGCGGGTCAAATGAACCCTGACTTTTGTGTGAAAAATGACAAAATTTGTATTCTATGGCGTATATATTTGCCCCTGAAGAACCACGACCCGAGAAGTTTATAGTGTGTTCAAGAGGAGTGGTTGACCTTTAAATTGATATCAATTATATGATCGTATGTACTCAGATGCGGGAGCTGCACTTAAATATTTACAGGTGCTTACGTATTCAGACATTATTTAGTAACCCAATACCACACTAGAGGGCGGAAATATAGCACTGATCGCTTTGAAAATTTTCATGAGATTCCAGTTATGGTCAAGGACAACGCCTATAATTTTCGGTGATGATTAGATAATAATTTTGGGATGAAGTCGACCGAAAACTTAACTTTTTATGTGTGTGTGTGTGTGTTTTGTTTTTTTATTGACTCAAGCTATAGGCCACAGTTGAAGGCCCAACATCACGACATAACCCACGGTAAAGAGAATTTGGACAAGTACAGCCCTCGTCTACTGAATATTGCTAATATTTGTTGACCTTTAGTCGGGTATCAAGAGGGTGCAAATAACGCAAAGTTAGATTTTCGTGGAAGTTGTGTAGGGTATTATATGGTCGGCCCCGTCCGACTATACTGCTCCGCTCACTGGTTTGGTTATAATTAGGTGAAAAATCCTGCCATAAATTATCGATATCGGCCCATCTTTATAGGCCACAGAAATATGTCCCTTCCAATTATATGTATATTTATGGTCCTTTGCGCATTTTCAAACCGAAGTGGATGTAATTTGATGTTCATGCTCCTGTCTTGACAGAGCCCCCATATAAATGTCCCGCACATTTTCGAATTATCCAACTAATTTTACTTAACCCTCACAGTATTTTTATCTTGAGTTATCTTTGAGCTGGCTCGATTACAACTCTCTTGCACAATCACATGTTAATCCTCCAAATGCATAGAATTCGTTGCTATGAATTATCTAAATATGGCACCATGTCACACTGTTCTCTTCCTTCTCATCAGATGATGGTGATGTTGATTTTCCAATGAAGAATGGCTTAAAATCGACTTGGCTCATTGAACTACTTATTGGTCATAAACTCATATCTCGGCTACAGCTGCTGTTGTTGTCGTTATTTTGTTTGGATTTCGAATCACAACAATTACAACCATTTCACAGCGTGTAAACAAATATTTGCACACTCAATAAATAAATACAAAAAAATATATTATAAAAATAATATTTAAAAAAAAGGAAAACAAAACAACATCAACAACATTTAAATGGAAAAATTTTAATTGTTGTGCTGATAATTTCCAACACCCCACGAAGCGAATAAATATAATTTTAATTAAAAGTCAATTGTATCAGAACACAGAACAATAACAACTACAACGACAAGAAATCAACCATCAACAACAATTGAAATCAATCAAAATGCACAAAACAAACAAATGAGAAGATAATTCAATAATTAATTGTTGGGAATAAATATTTGTTGGCCCTTAGGAAAGATTATGTGCACAATACCTTTTGAAGCTGATTAAAAGGCGGCTCCGAAGGTATTTATAGCTATTAAAATTAAATGTAAAAATTATTCACTTTTTGGAATGGTAAAAATATGTGTGAGTCAAACCAGAACGAGTTATAATGGTGAATCATAGTTCTCAAATACTAGCTATTAGGTCCCAAATATAAAAATACACAAAAATATGGAATAAAATAGAATAAACAAAATATAAAGAAAATGAAACTATATTTTTTCATTACATAATGCCAATACACATTGCTTCTTCGATGTATGCCAAACACCCTGATTCCTTTTTTTACTTTAGAAGTATATGTTTTTTATAAGTCGTAAAATTTGCGATGTATATATTGTTTTTGCCATGTGATCGCATTTAAAACGATTTCAATTTTTATTTTTGCATGTGTCTCGCACGCCGAGACGTAATGATGCAATTGAACAAATGGCTGTGGTAAGCCCTTCTCAACAGGGTTTTTGAATAAATTATTTATGATTTCGTTGTTGTTGTTATTATTATTTTACAACTGATTAAATTTCAGACAAACGACGTAAAGGTTGTGAAGGTTACAGCATTCTCACTCATACAGACACCGAGTGCTGTATAAAAAATATATTTGTTTATGGAAAAGTAGTTCTATTAATAAAATAATTGAAATTGTTTGTAATAATTCAAAAAAAAATTACAAACATTTTAATACTAACGAATAATTTTGTTTCTAGGGGATAACAATCAAAATATCCTTAGCAAATGACGTTGGTAATTCCATACTTGATTATTTGTTCTTAATTTTGTTTTTGTATCGTCACTATGGGTCATTGTATTTCCATGTACATTGCTGCTATACAGTGCCAAAAAACGCTACTCTTATCATTAAATTCCGAACATTGATCTGAAATCGGGTGCATTTACCCATAACGAATATATGCATCTTTATTTTACAAGAAATTTGGAGGTACAGTTACTAGATGCATCTTTATTTTACATTAAATTTGGAGGTACAGTTAAATTAATTAAATCTAATATGTCTCGCTTTGCGTCACCATTAAAAAATTAAAAATCCGTGGTATAGTGAAACAAATTAAAACTGTGTCAATCCATGTCCAACTTTTTAAACCTCTTCAGATACCGTTATTGTGGTTTCATTTTACATCGGTTAAAAAAACAAGCACCATCAACATGATAACACACAAAGGATTCGGCCGTACCTTGTGGATATTGAAAATCAAATTATGGAGATCGTACAACCATTTCTGGTCGGGCATCATCAAAAATTTCCAAGGGAAAGTTTGATATTCTTAACATACAAATATTATGTACTGTTTAACGTACTATCATGGGTTGTGTTGTTTACAGTGACCTGAAAATTAAATTTCCTAAAAAGTGATATTAATTTTTTAAAACTTTTCGAAGCATCTTTTATGACTGTGAATCGTCATCCCAAAGAATTGGTCGACGGTTGCTAGAGAACGAATTTTGTTTTGGTCGTCCAAAAACTGTCACTCTGAAACAGAACATAGATGTCGTACATGAACTGATAATGCAAAATCATCATTTGGCATAAGTTACCCTCTAGGCCTTTCTTCCACCTGCATGCATTTGATTTGGACTTATAAATAGAATTGTTCTAGTAGTATACCACACAATTTGATACTCGCTCTAAAAAGACTCGTGTCGATTGGCATTTTTGAACAAATTCGATTGGGGTACTTTTGAGAAGTTTATAGAAGTGATCTGTTCGTGGAAGAAATACCTCGAAGCGAATAGATCGATTGTTTCTAAACAACGTTGGGAACTATAATT